TATGTATGGGTGGGTTGGATGCGTGTTGGTGTTGGAAATGGGTGTTTGGGTGTGAGTGCCGTTGCATGTGTTGATGGGTACTGGTGTGGATATAGGCGGAGATTAGTGGACATGAGTGTAGGCATGTTCGTCGTTAGGATTATAGGTGTGGTAATGAGTATGAATGTGGGTGTAGAAATTGGTGTGGATGTGGATGGATGTGGTGCGGTGTGTGAGTATTAGTGTGAATGTGGGTACCGGTATGAATGTGAGCGTGGATGTGGTTGTTGATCTGATTCTTCCGTTCTGCTGCATCTCGAACCTTAGCCGATCCATCTGCACGAATCCACACTCACAAGCGTCGAAACACGTTGGCAGAATGCGCATACGCAGATTCACATCCACATCAGCGCTCACAGCCCATAGTTTAACCGGCGCGTACACATACAAGAAGTACTATAGAACATATTCAAATGAAAACCACTATCAAACAGCTGTTGTGAGTGTTCAACACAAAATAAATGAAACATATGGAGAGTGATAAATTCATCTGTCATCGACCCTCCCCCCCTTTTAGGAGCTTTTCGCTATCCTGATCGAGGAATAGGACTCTGAGGGTAAACCAACAAATATGTTAGTAAATAAATTGATGATGAAAACGTGTGTAGGTAAGTTCTTGTTTGATAAAGCTGCAGAATTGTTAGAGATGAGAAATTCCTATTACTTTTTCACTCAAGTCGTGAAAAAACCGTTATAACCCAGAACCTTGTATATTCCTCAAATTTCATTCGTTTCTATGACATTTTTGGATTCTGTGAACTTCTATTCCTTCTGAGCCGTATCACTTTCTTGGTCTAATGATACTACTGACTGCGGTGAGTTCTGAGATTTCCTCGTGCCCCCTGAATCTTTTCTGGTCTCAGTTGACAAGTATGTTTTTAACAAGGGGGAAACAGCGGACTTCAAGACTTCAAAAGACTTCAACAGACTTCAGCCGCAGTGACTTCATATTTTCACAAGACTTCAAAAGACTTCTAAAGACTTCATAGGACTTCAAATGGCTTCGCAAGACTTCATAAGACTACGTATGACTTCATGTGACTTCATGGGACTTCAAAAGACTTCCAAAGACTTCGTTAGACTTCACAGACTCCGTGAGACTTCACGGACTTCATGAGACTTCACGGACTTCATGAGACTTCACGGACTTCATGAGACTTCACGGACTTCATGAGACTATAGAGACTTTGTAGGACTTCTTGAGACTTTATAAGACTTCATCAGACTTCATAAGACTTCACAAGACTTCATAAAACTTCGCAAGACTTCACAGGACTTCACAAGACTTTGAAAGACTTCACACGACTTCAAGAGGCAGATTCCATGCGTATCAAAAAACCTTATAAAAATTACATGAAACCTCTATAACATGCAAAAAACAAAACTTATCAAATGGTAGGGGTGTCATTTACCGTTTACTTTATAATAAATATAAATTATTTATAATTTAATTTACGCACAAATTAAATGAAAAGTAAATATAAATTGACACCCTTATTCATAACAGAGTAACTAGTGTCTTCCGAGAACCACGAACAGGAATGATATTGAAAATTGATTGCTTCCAAAAGTCTGTTTTGTGGAACTCACGTATATTTTCGAAGAAAATAGTGAGTGTAGTTTTTAGTTCGAGGTTTGGCGGCTCCTCCCTCCCCTCACCCCATTACAGACACTTAGCAACGGAGAAAGAGAACATTACGGACATACCACCCCCTCCCCCCCCCCCCATTACCGACAGGGTGTGGGTGTGAGTGTGGGGTGTGGGTGGGTGTGGTTGTGGGTGTGGGTGTGGG